AGTCACCGGTCACATCTGTCTTTTCATTCCAGTTCCTAGAGAAAGCTCTCTCTCCCAAAGCCTGAGATGCTGCACGTGTCGTCCACATTTTCAGTCCTAGACCATACTTCCCAAGATTTCTGAGAATCCAATAAATATGTGGATGCCAACCTTTCTCAGATATTCTCACAGCCCTCTGGAATATTCCTATTGATCTCATTTTATTAAATATCAGAACAGGAAACAAATCTTGTTGCAAATTACTGCAAAGAGAAAGCTTTATTTCTATAACAGTTTGAAATAGATTATCCTTAAAGTGAAAACAGAAAATTGATATTTTCCTAAAGATGCACAAGATTAATTTTCTGCACACCCAGGAGCCTGAAGCCTCCTGCAGCATGGTGCAGCATTAGCTCGTGCACACGGCAATCCCCTGTGTACTCTCTTAAAAGGCCTCTGCTCCTGATTGCTCTTTAGTGCATTCCCTTTTCCTTTTGAAGCTCCCAGGTGATTCTTTTGCATTGAGGATGCAAACACCTAGCAGCCTTTGTGCCTTGGCTAGTCCTTGTGCCCTTGATGCCCTCCCTATGGGGCTGGGTCAGCCTATGCCTCTTGCATAGGGGTGCACTGGATAGACATGAATCTGACCGTAAGCACTGCTGTCCCTAAGGTCGAGGGCCCCAGAGCTCTTCAAGACTCCAGCCTCCTGGGAGCTTGAGGGTCTGTAGCCAGACTGGTCACACTCTGAGGTTGCCTCACTCAACCTTAAAGCAGCTGACTTAGGGGTAGAACCTCACATTCCAGGGTGCTGTTGACTTTCTTGTTACAGCCTGAAAACATCAAGAAAAGAAAGGATAGCCCTGGGCCACTGCCTCCACTGGACATGTGAGAAAGCTGTGGCCCAGAGAACCAGAAACCCTTTGTGCGAGGTCATCTTCTGGGCTGGACTCCTGACTGCCAGCTCAGAACCTGCTTTTATTACCTCCAGCCAAACTGGTGCTGAGCATTACGCTAATAAGCTGGACATTACCTAGTTTCCCATGGTGGAAATGAGAGAATCAAAACACGAATCCTACAGTTTGTTACCACACAAAAAGCATTTTTCTCAGGTTCACGATGGTTAAAGAGGGGAACAACAAAGTGAACAAACCTGTCAGGGAAGAGCCCCCATAGAACAGGTACATTAACTGCATAGTGAGCAAATTCCAAAATGATTAAAGTCCAATTGCTCAAGTAGGATGGAAGCAGCCCTCTGTGGAAAGAAAAGGGTAAATGTTGGGGCACCTTTCTATGAGCAGGAGGCGTTAACGTGGCCACCTCAGCAGAAGTCCTGGAGGACATGTGCTAGAACCTGGCATGCATGTCACAGTGTGAGACTCCACGGCCTCAAATTCAGCAGGGTGTCGCAACCTGGGCTCTCAAGATGTCGACGAGACCCTTATATTTCTGTGTATTGGCAAGTCCAGTAGTTGAGGATGGTAATCTATAGATGAGGCTCTAATGAGATGTGATGTCACATTTCCAGGGGAAATGTTCTCACATGTGGGGTCTGATAAGATGCTGTACCCTTGAAGGGAAGGGGAATACCCTTCAGAACAGAGCATCAGTGGCCAACTACGTGTTTGGAATCCTTTCCAAGATACATAAAAATACCGCATACTTCCATTTCTCCAAAGACTCCATTCCTATACATTCTGAAAAACGGGTTGCCTTTGTTATTAAAACCAAAGCCCAATCAAACTGACTCCATGTGGCCCTGAAATCTGAAAACTTGATCAGATTTGTCCAGGGTCACATGAACAGGGAAGGTCTGCTCCCAGGTAACCACAGAGCCCCAACCTGCCTGTCTCCCCAGGTCCTTTGTTTGCATCCCGTGTCTGCAGGGTGGAGTGTGAACTTTAGGGAGTGGATGCTCAGCCACCACACTGATCAATAGTTAGGGCTCATGGTGGTGATCTTAAAAGCTGCTTTCTTTGCCTTCCTGGGAGTTTTTGCCAGCTGCATGTCTGATAAAGGACACATGTTCCTGGAAATCAAATGGGAGGAGAGGGCAGAGGCCTGACCTTGCTCCAGCTTGGGGCCCCCTTGGCTGCTTGCCCTGTCCCTGGAGCAAATGGCTGCCCTTGCACCTGTGGTCAGGACCCAGGCCACTGTGAGGCTCAGGGCAATACCGGGGATACACGTGAACAGCGTGGCCCACAGCCTTGGGGAGCTCCCCAACTGGCCCCCTCCCCCCACGCCTCTGCACTTTTCTCAGCTCCTTATTTTACAGTCATTTTCCAGAAGTTATCACCCATATCTACTAGTATGGTGAGCAGAGCGAGGTAGACTGTCATTGACAGGAAGCAGGACTTTTACTATGGACTCCAGCCACAGTGGCCCCAGTTATAGGTGGATTCCATTCATCTACACTCCCCAGGGCAAGGTTGGTACCTTGTGCTTTCTTCTGTCCCAGGTGCCTCGCGCAGTGACAGGTGCAGAGCTGCTGTGTGATAAATGTTAGCAGAAATTACATTGTATTGATTGAGCTCTTTTGCCAACATTGCGGTGCCATACCCAGCGTGAGTTCAGGGCCTGTACTGAGTCAGCGCGACAAAGGGCTCCTCAGCAATCGGCAGCTCTTATCTCTTGCTTGGTGCCCTCAACCCCAATGTGCTGAGTGTCCCCTGCCACTGCCGTCATCTTTGTCACCCTTTATTTCACAGCTTTGTTGAGCCCTTGCCCGTGCCCTGTGCCATTATTATCGAACTCAAGACTGTTTCCTTGCCATTTGAAAAGGGCCCGATGAATCGAGCATAAGTTGTTGGGGGAAAGAAGATGTATTCAGAATGCCAGGGGAATGGTGGACTGATGTTTGGAAAGTTCCATCCTAACTCAGCATAAGTTTTAAGCTCCTTTTATCCTCAGGCAAGGGTGAAAGGAGATGAGCTTAGCCCAGTGACTAGAGACTCCCAGGTGCATCTCCTGTGGTCTGAATGGAACGCAGCAGAGCCTAGTGGTTGGTAATTCATTGACCGTGATGCTCCTGCAAATCTTTAAAATGTCTTAATTACTCAGTGTCTTCAGTCTTGAAGGGCCAGGAGAGGGATTAGGGAAGTTTTAGATATAAGGTGCGATCAAAATATACAGTGAAGGTTTAAATTTAAAAATGTATTAGAGTGAAAGACACACTGTCTTTACCCCCCGCCCCCCGAATATACTCCCTGCTTCTAACACACTCATCCTGTTGTTCTTGCCACTTTCTAAAGCAGTTCTGGACGTCCTCTTTGGCTGGTGTCTTTATACAGTATAATAAAATAATACAGTGAATGCTGCTGCTGAGCAACATGGAATGGAAAGGCAGGCTGGTAAACACATTGTGTGTGTTCACCCACCGTATTCTCTGAGTCTGGTGCCATGTGACTTCCGGCTCTTCCCCTAAATCAAAATAACCGTGAAGGGTAAATGTTTTGCATTGATTCAGGATATCGAGGTAGGCATACCTCAAAGACACTCATGAAAGGGGATTTCCAGAACTGCTTGAAAAAGTGGCAAGAGTGATGGGATAAGTGTGTTTGTATCTTTTATTGTCATACAATTTTTAAGAAAAACTTAAACATTCACCATATTTGTTGATCACATCTTGTAAATCAGTGTTCCACACAAATATTCCTTCCATGACTCATGTGTCTATGTATGAGGTTGGATAGAAACAATCTGATCTGAAGATAGCAAAGGAGACAGACAGAATCTGCAGGCAGAGGCTGCCAACCTTTTCATCCTGTCTTCGTCAGTCATATTAGGCCCACATGAAGAGTCAGTGTTTTGACAAAAGCAGTCGTATAGTCCCTGAAAAGTAATTCAGGAAACTGTCATCATCCAACTCCGTATGTTGGAGGTGTCATTTAATGGGACGCCACTGACATATTGCTCAGCTGTGGGGCCTCCGAAATTGGTGATTCTTAAAGGCAAATATTAAAAGCAAGTGAAGCGAGAGTGTGTGACTTTGTCCCCAGTTACACTGCAGGGCCCTCTGCTATGATAGCTCCTTCAGTCCTCCCCCAGCCCTGCCATCCAGTGACAGTCTGGAGCCCACTTGCAGCCATAAAGCTTGACGTGGCATTGCTGGTTAGAAACAGAAGCTGGGGGACTGGAAGTGCCATGGTGGCATGTGAGGCTTGGTGACTGAGAGGACATGCTTCTGGGAGGTGGTGACCAGGTTAGATAATTCTGGCCATCTTGAAGACACCCCGTCTCCTCCCACGATCTGTGTGAGTGAAACATGGTGGCACATGATTGGCTGAGGGCTCTCCAGGAGCTCCAATTGCAGTGCATTTATCTGGAAAAGTCCCTCCCGAGCAGGCTGTGCACTCTTCCAAACCTATTCCTGGGCCCTGCTTGGGCTCCCACCCTGCTCTGCAGTAATCTCTGTCTGACCCTAAAGACCCCAAGGCAGTCTTAGCCATGAGTGGGGGCTGGAAGACTCAGGTGCTGTGTGCATATGCCCACCACCGAGTCTCTGGATTCCTCCCAAGAGCCAGGGCCACCACATGGTCCTGTGCCCACCAAATCTATCACTTCCAAAAGGTACGCCACCCCAGCATCTCTCCTTGATCCAGCAACATCCTTGGTGAGATCGGGAGGAGTATGACAGCTGGGTCAAGACCTGGCCCTCCATCCTGAGGGGACAGTGAAATCCCTCTGTGAGTCTAGACCGCTAACTCTGCCCGTTTGTGCCTCAGCTTCTCGCTGTAAGATGAGGGGTGGGGGGAGAGTTTCTGCTGAGGTCCCCAACCATTTATTCTTTCCTTCTGCTGTGAATCATCATGCCCTCAGGGAAAGGGAAGATAGTGAGCACATGGACCAGGAAAGCTGGCAAAGCGGTGCGTGATAGGAGCCACTGACTAGAGACCCAAGCGCACCGAAGTGTTCAGAACACTTCAACATGCAGTTTCCAAATGTCAGCACAGGCAGTAGCTGACATCTGAGATAGACACAGTGAACAGATAGATGCAGCAGTGGATTTTATTGGTGTCAAGTGATCATACTGTGTTTGGAGTTTCACAGGGCATGAGGGTGAGCAGAACGTCTTCTCTCACAGCGTCTTGACTACAGAAGTTGTACTTGTGGAGAAAAGTGAATGTTTGGCAAGTGTTTGGGTGACCTTGGGAATGACACAGTGGTCTGAGTTGTCCAACAGAGGTCAACCTGATTTATAATTTTGAAGGAACAGGGAAGCACTAGGGCTGTGGAGAACTGGTGCCTTAGGCTTCCAGGCTGAGGGCCCACCTGGGTCCAGGACAGTGTATGCTCTTGCCTTAGAGTGGTTCCTGTTGCCAGGTCCTGTGTGTGACAGAACTGTGGCCTCCTGAAGCAGCAGCGACCCTGCCTTCTCTTGTTCCTATGGGTCTGTGGTAGCTCGGTCCATACAGCTGACCAGTTTGCAGATGGTTGCTTGCTCTTCCTTAGGTCTCTCCCGGGACCCAGCTGAATGAAATACTGAGCTCTTAGTAGTGCCAGCAACTTTGCTACATGATCCCCTTACATGCGCCTCATCCTCACCACAGGTGTGTGAGGAGGTCTTTATTAGTCCTACTTCATGGCAGAGGAAACTGAGGCAGAGAGAACGGTCAGTTATTAAGAGGAAGAATGAAGATGCAAACCCAGGTCCACCTGATGCCACAGTCCAAACTGTCTATGGTAGGGTCACATGTCAAACCTCCTTCCACCTTGTCTTTCAGATCTAGAGTCGGGACCTGGCTTTTCCCCAGGTGTCCTGCGCCTCTGCCACCTTCTATCTGTGAAACGGGCAGGTTCCTTGATGCCATCTTCATGTGTAGAAGAGGGCTCCTTATGGTCACTGAGAATCCATGACAATAACTCAGCTTCCCCCGACAATAAACAAACCATTTTAAAGTTAATCCAAAACAATGCAGATATAAACAGTTGTTGTCATGGTTCTTCAGGAACGGTATGGTGGGCTTCTCTCCTGACCTTACCACCTTTGAGCTCTGAGGCGTCTTCCAGTCTTCCCCCTTCTACTTCTTTTGAATTAGTTTGTTTTTCCTAGAAGCCAAACCTGGGGTTTCTCCTGTGCCCTGCACCCCGCCACCCTGCCACCAGGCAGCCTGGCTTCCTCGGTGCCACACATCCCTGTGCCTGCTGCTGCTGCGCCTGGCCTTCTTGCCCCTCTGTCCATGACTCCCCAGCCTCCGGGGCTCCTCCCTGGTCATGGCCTCCTTTGGGCACTCTGCTCGTCCCCGGCCTCTCTCTCTGGGCCCCTCATGGTGACTCCTTTATTCTATCATGTGACCTTGATATCCCTCTCACTCTCATTTTTCTTTACAGCTGAATTATAAACTTCCGGACAGCAGACTCTGTTTCTACCCCTACTGTTTGTCAGACGAGGATAGGCACTTAATTAAGTCGTTCACAAAGGTCCAATTACGGTGGATACTGAAGTTCCCGGGGAAATAAGGAAAGGGAGGACTACATGTCTCCTTCGGTCTCATGTCAATGGAAAGAATCCGGATCAGCAAGTTCCTGGGTAGCACTCAAACCCCCAGGAAGGTGCCTGGAACACCTGAGGGAGAGTTGAGAAGAGGATGGACCAAATAAATGGATTCTCTTTAACTTTGCAACGATTACTTTTCAATATGTTGCTGGTCATTTTCATCAGGACAGAATATCTGAATGATTTGAATAATTGAGATTTTAAGAAATTCTCCAGGCTAGTTTGTGATCTGTGAAGCTGGTTTTGGCTTTCCTACATTTTGAAAATTGAATGTCTGACCTCCTGCTTCCGCTAAGAAAGATTCTCTGTGGAGTGGATAGGCAGAGGCGGCTACACTCAGCTACTGGAGGGTTTGGGTGGCAGCTGATGGGCTCAGGGCCTCAGAGGTGGCTTCAACTACATCTATTCCGTTTCTAGAAAGTTCGAAAACTCTGGACCTTTCCTGAGAACCCTGGAAGGTGCCATGGTCCGGCTTCTTTGGCTGCCTGTTTTTCACCTGTGAGAACTTTCCTGAGAAAACCTCTCGTTTTCAAGAATCTCATGGTGCCTCTTTCTTCTTATGTAATTTTAGCCACATAGTCCCAGGATCAGGACCCAGGGACACTGCCTCCTGGACCCCTGGGAACTGACGTTAGAGCTTGTCCTTAGTGAGTCCCAGGAGAGCAGGCCTGGGCTGTGCCTGCAGCCAGCATGGTGCTCTCCACTGGCCAGGACTGGCCTTCTCTGTGCTGTGCTTTAGCTTTGGGGACTCCTGGTTCCACCGACCACCTGGCTGGACCAGCCTCAGTGTCCTTGCATGTCAGGGGATAGGGAGGACAACAGAAGGCCATTCAGCTTGGTGACGCATGTGTCAGCCTCCATGATACTCTGCCAGCCCTCCCTCCTCATCTGGGAGAGTGACATTCCCAGGGGCCTGAGCTCAGTGGCCCGACCTGATTCCTAGACTTCAAGCCCACCAGTGTCTGAGCACCCAGATCCCCTTCCCACAAAGCCACACTGGTAGACTTGGGGTCAGATTTGCTCTGTCCCCTTAGCTCACTACCCACGGTCCCTTCCAGGTGCCACAGAGGCCAGGGCAGGACGAGGATCCCACAGATACCACTACTTGAGTGCTCTCTCATCTTATGTCAAGTTTTCTGCGTTTTCTTGAAACTGATTTCTTTTCCACTGGTCTCTTCCCTTCAAAATGTAGCCACTCTCTAGCCCATATTTATAATCTTTTACCCTTCAGAAATGACTTCTGTGTTTCTTTTTATTTGTCCTTGAACATTAGGCAGTGCTGAGAATGCCAGTAAAGTACACCTATAGAAAAACTGCCTTCTGCCAGCTGTTTGTTTGCTGGGGAGGAAGAACCAGGGATAGACAGATTTTCTTGGCCTAACTGACTTTCTGGAGTGAGTTTCCACTACAGGCGGCGAATCTCTGCAAACCCCCTGAGACACAGCCAGGGAAGGTGCTTACACTGTCTGCTCCTCTCCTGTTTGCACTGTGATCTTGGCTGCCCCACTTTGGGGAAAGTTGGGTGTACCATATTGTTGTTCCACAGAAACTTGACTTTCCCAATTGTCCCAACAATCAAGCTCTGCCTCAAACTCCTTGGAATGGGTAGAGCCTGGTGTGATGACCCCCCTGGAAACAAAGAAGTGGAAACAGGTTTGGTCATGGGCGTTCATCTAATGACCAGAGCAGGCTACACGGCTCTTTTCTACTTTAGATTAACAGGAGTCAGCCTGGCACTGTCGTGGACACCTGTAATTCCAGCACTTGGGAGACTGAGGCAGGAGGCTTGCTGAGTCCTGCCTGGGTAATGTAGTGAGACTCTCTCAAAATAAAAATTTTTAGAAAGGGCTGGGGCTATACCTCAGTGTGAAGGTCCAGGGTTCAATACTCAGTACGTAAAGAATAAACAAAAAGCAAAACAAAACAAGAGTCTTCTTCCAACTTAATCCTCAAATAAAAGAAATGGAAAGGACAGCTACATGCCTACAGCCTCAGTCCATTATTTAAGGATTTGGTATGGGTTAAATAGTAAGTGCCTCCTAAGACTCATGTATTGAGGGCTTGATTCCCAATAGATGCAGCAATGTAGCAATGTTCAGAGGTGGGGCTGAGAGTAGGTGTTACTCTCATCATAGCTTCATGGATTATTAAGGGACAGGGCCTAGTTGGAGGAAGTGGGTTCCTTGGGCTCGCCTCTGAAGGGTATATCCTGTCCCCTGCCCTTCCTCTCTGTCTGTTCTCTTAACCTCTCTCTGCTTCCTGGCTGCCCTGAGGTGGGAAGCTTTGTTCCACCACTCCCTTCCAGCATGGTATTTCTGCCTTGGAGCCAGCAGACAATTCGAAGGACAATGAAACCTTTGAAATTATGAGCAAAACTAAGCCTTTCCTTTTTTAGGTTGTCCCATTAACAGAAAACTGACTAATACAGGATTGTTTTTCAAACTCAAGCTAATTTCTCCTCAAAAAAGTCTTATAGAAAATTATATAATTTTTTCATATTATTTTATTTTTTTCTGGAAGATTTATTTGTACAGTAACAAGTTAGTCACTTAACATGTATTGTTGTGCTAATCAGAAAACAGGATATCTGGGGTACATTAGATTTTTCAAAATATGATCTACAAAGAGAAAGAACTAAATGGTTGAGGTTAGATTAGAGAAAATAAAAGTTATTGGTAGAATTCGGAAATGAACTTCAGTATATAAATAATTAAAAACCCATTAATGATAAGTTAACTACATGGTTTAAAAGTCATGTATATTATAGTATGAGATGTGGCACTAAAATAGGGCTTAACCTGAAGATATCATACTGGCAAGTGCTTCCTTTATCTCCAAACAAAGCAACTTTGACCTGACCAGTTACCATTCTTCTGGACAGCGTTATGGAAACTCTGTATCTCCAGCCTGCATAGAGCAAGGGAGAGTTCAGTTTATCCATGCACAAAATGAGTGGTCCAGATCCAAGATTCTTGTCCTTGTCCTTTACATGGAAGCATTATAGTATGAGAAATTCTACTTATTAATTTATACCTCAGATTCAGTCTGAAGGGGAAGTGCAGCCCACTCTATACCTGAACTACCTGGTAAGAGGCCCGCTAGCCACAGTAGCCACTTCTATTGAAATTTAAATTAAACAAACTAAAAATGTATCCCCTCAGGTTCACTAGCCACATTTCCAGTACTAAACTGCCACGTGGATGAGTGGTTTCTGGATGCAACAGGGCAGAAGATGCCCATAGCTGCAGAAAGCTGTGTGGGACAGCTCTGCTGCAGAGTGGCAGTGCTCAGAGCTAAGGTGGGAGGCAGCTGGCTCCAGTGTGAGTCTGCAGAGCACCCTGGGCCAGGCTGTGTCTCAGCTCCGCATCCCCAGTGCCCCAGGAAGGCTCCAGCACAGAGTAGGTACCAGGCCGTTGTCACCTACATCAATACCCGGACTGCTGTCCTGGTGCCTATGTGAATAATCCCGCCCAGACACATACGTGTAAACTACACAGATAGAGTCACGCCTTTACATACCCATAAGCACATATATATACACAAACATTATCACCACACTCAATTCATACATACACACAAAGAGTCACACATAAACATGTATGGACACACTTGCACATGCGCACACGTATATGTACACACCTGCACACCTTTGTCTAACTCCTTCTTATCTTTCATATCCTCAGAGACATTGTCCCTGTTCCTCCCTCTGGTCAGGGTCAGGTCCCCTGTCCCATAATACAGAGGCAGCAACTGCCAAGCCCTATGCACTTGTAGGGCAGTTTCCTTTTCTGCTGAATTATAAACTTTACGAGTAGAGTATCTCTTTCATCCCTGCATCTTCAGTGTCTAGTAGCCCAAATCTATGCCTCATAAATAAAGGTGGGTTGAGGAATAAATACATAGTTTTTGAATGCCTACTTTGTTGTTGTTAAAATATGGACAGGTATTTCACGCATCACTACGTTGGTGTATGGATTGATGAACCAACATCTTCTTATGATAAAGTTTTATATATATATATATATATATATATACACACACATATATATTTACATGATGGAAATGTTCTGCATCTTGATTGTGGAGGTAGTTACACATCTATTTATTTGTCAAAACTCACAGAACTATACACCAAAAAGGATGAATTTGCTATATATAAATTATACCTCAATAAACTTGACTTTAAAGCCTTTTGAGACATGTATTATTTTTATATATCTGTATAAACACACAGTCTTTGTTTTGCTGGGCAGCACCCGGTGGAACTGTCAGAGGCAAGTTGTCATAAAGTGCCACATACATCTTTATCTCTACCCTGTGTCTTAGTCCATTCTCCATGGTTTGGAGAGAAATCACCCCTCCCCCTGACTCCTACCCCCAACCCTGACCTCAGTGATGTATGGACAGGAAGGGAGGGCAGAGAGATGGGCTCCTTGGGTTGTAGTCCTGGAAGGATCTAGTATGAAATGAGTTTGCTAAATGAATAACCAGGTGTGTAGACACAAACTTTTTTGTTTTGTTTTGGTACCGGGGATCGAACTTGGGACCTGGTGCTTTCGAGGCAGGCGGCGGAACCATTGAGCTAAATCCCCAGTCCCCATAGACACAATCTTTTAAAGGAAAGGAATAATGAACTGCAGAGTGTTAAGAATCCAGGGTAAATGGTCAGAAAGCCATGCCAATTGCCAAAATCTTGTTAATCATACCATTCACTTCCTCTCATTTCACAGCATAGAAATAAAACGGAAAAAAAATGTAAGTTGTTTCTAAATCCTCAGCCGAGTCTTAGATGGGAGAGTGTGAGTAGATATGTCCTTTTCTAAGATGATCAGAATGTGTCCACAACACTTCAGGTTAGAGGCAAGCCTTTCATTTGTAACAGAAACTATACCTTCTTTACTTGGGCAAGTATGTGGTCAAAATACAACTTACATGAAAAATTCTTGGCACCACCTGTGTTCAAGAAGAATTTCTGCTGCTCTTTACTTATCCTGCCAGCAAACTTGTCAGCATAGTGACCCATCTGTGCGCAGCCTTGGTCTGGACAGGGGAAGCACTTGTTCTAGTGAGAGGGGACAGACAGAGAGGAAAGCAAATCTGTCTTCTTGTAACCAATATTCTTGGAGGAGCCGACCCTCAATTTTTCTACAGCTCTAGCTTCCTCATTTGCAACAGGCAGGGGATTGGAACACACGAACTCTAAACACCTTCAACTCCCAGCCATAGTGCACACACACTAGAATGATGTGAGGAACTTTCAAATATACTGATACCTTCTGCCCAGATTAAGTCATTTCAATTTTCCACTTAGTGATACACTGGTCAGTGATTAGCAACCAGTTCTCTGGGACAAAAAGCCTCGATTCTCGTGTTTAAGTTTCTGTGGTATAAATGCTTCCTCCCTGGAGTTTTAAAGCTACCAGTGTGCTCTCACGGATGTGAGGTTGGCAAGTGAGGTTCACGCTGGCTCCAGCCCTTCCTTCCATCTCTTCCTTTGACATTCTGGCACACAGACCCCAGGACCTGCCTTTTGCCTTTCCCTCTCTGGCTGATGGATTTTTTTTCTCACACATTTCTCTGTGCTTGCTCTGGCCTTGCCAGAAATGCCCACTCCTGCTCCTTCTAAGATCTACTATTTTTTAAGCCAGATTCCACTGTGACATGGCAGACATCCAAGATCATGTGGATGTAGATCTGCCCTTTAATTTCCCAGGGTTTTCCTCTCCCACGTGACTCGTCTGGTCTAGAATTGTTGCCATCTCCTGCCTAAATTTTTTTTCACCTCCACTCCACTGGACCATGAACTCTGAAGGGCAAAGTAAAACACACAGTGAGAAAGCTCTGAAATCCCAAACACAGCAGGACCACAATTGCACGGCGGATGGTCCCCATGGCACCTGGCAAGACAATAGCTTATAGACTCAAAGTGCTTGTAGGAAGTGCAGGGATATGCAGTGAACCCATTAGGGCTGAGGATGCTGTCCAAATAATACTTGTAGCTTCTCAGATGATTGCAAGCCACAAAGTCCCGGGTTCCTAGGGAAGATAAAGGAAGAAATCTGCGCAGGTGATGGGGGATGGGCTGTGATAGCTGCTATGCCATTGTCTCTAAGAGGGGCGATTCCAAAGTGGAATCACATTTTTAAAAATTTAAGATAAATTCAAAATCCAGTCACAATAATGACAATGAACATATAGAGGGCACTTTGTACATCCCATAAATGTTTTGATCCCTTTATATGCATTGGCCATGTAACCCTCCTTTTTCAGGAGGTTGGTACCATATTATCCCTATTTAGGATTAGCTACAGATAGCATCCTCCCATTTATAGTTTATGGCTAGTAGACTGGATATTTTAAGGAAACCTAAGCTCACCTGAGGAACATTCTCACGCTATCTTGTTTCTCACAACATTCTTTGGCTCTTCACAACTCATGCCAAGTGACAAATGATACCACTCACCTTCCAGACCTGGCTTGCTTGGCCATTACTGATGGAGAGTTTGAGCTACTCTTACCCTTGCAAACCTTCATAAGGATGGAAAAGGTAAAATACATACATTATCATCCTTAATATTTGGTTGGAGGGCACCTCAGCTATTTTGATCAAATCCAGTAAAAACCTGTAAACATTAGATTTGATTAGACCACTATGAATTTTAGCTTATAGGGTGCTATATGACAATTTTGGCTGGAGATTACATCTGGCCATTGTCCCTTTTTCCCTTCAGTATTGGGGATTTATGCCAGGGCCTTGACATTGAGCTAAATTCCATTTTTATTTTTTAAATTTTAGGGCAGTGTCTTGTTATATTGCCCAGGTTGTGCTCCAAACTTGTGACTTTCCTAACTCAGTCTCCCAGAGTGCTGTCTTTGTCTTTTTTTACCTCATTAGATACACAGTCAGAGCTGTAACTGAAGGACGCCCTTTATTCCTAGACATACTTCATTAGTGATAACTGGACAGTCTTCACCCAAATCTTACAATGATTTCTTCTCATTTCTGTTCAATGTAATGCAAATGGCTTTTCAATGGAAACCATTGGGAATAGTCTCATTCTGGCTACTGAAGAGCTGATTATATAAGTTTGAACCATATTACTGACTTCCAAGGGAAAGTCTGCACAAAAATTCTCTTAGGTAGAATTAGAATATTTATTCTTGTGGTATTTTCTTTCTCTGCTGAATAGCTACCAGTTGATTGTTGGGGCTATAGTTTTAGGCAACAGCTTTGCAATTCTTTGTTGCCTATATATCCTGGCATATACAGGACAATATTTTAAGCAAATAGAAAATTCATAGAGCTGAGATATAATAAATATGTAACTATATTTTTCAGAAATAAGGCCCAGAAAGGAGAACTGTATAATTTTTAAGGGAAGTATGTGTTTTCAGTATTAACATTTGCTATGGCAAATGCTACTCGCCCCAGGAAAGAGATGTCATCCCTGACACTACCTCTACCCCTGTTTCGTACCATGGCTTTACCTGACCAAACGCCATCTAGTTTCACGATCTGTGACAAGGCATTCTTATTATATCCTGGCATGTCCTCTCCTCCACTGGGGAAGAAGTCAAGGTGACTCTTCAGTTGGTTTGTTCCAAAGCCTGAAGTGTTTGCAATAGCAATGAGGATTTTGGAATGTAGGCCTCTCCTGGATAAAACACTGTATCACATGATCAGAGCTGGAGCACTGTGGGACTCAACCAAGAATGGGATCAAGGGAGCTGCATCCCTGTGAATGACATCAACAAAGTCAGCGTCTGAAGGGTCAAGTCGAACCTCTTCAGGAGTGCCCTCGACACTGGCTTCTACAGGATCCAATCCTAAAAGAGATGGCCACCAATGGAGAACAATAGGCCTGTTGTGTTGATGCCAAAGGGACTTAGGTGTACATTTGCTCTGGTCGTGCATAACCCAGCTCAAAGGGAATGCTTTGGAATGGTGCAGTGCCATGACCCTGGGTACTGAATATGGAGACATAAAGTCTCAATGTTGCTCATTACAGGAGTGCTCTGGTGGCATGGATAGAGGGGGGAAGATGAGCAAGAATTTTAAATTTTGTTTGAGCAAAGATTTCTTTCCATGGTAGTCTTTCACTTACGTTGATATCTTCTTCTTCAACAGTTACATTTCTCTTTTCACAGTGAAGAATACAGATTCTTGGGCTAGGTCATTTGGCTCCTAATCTCTATTCATTTACTTTTTGAACAAACTGCCTGATCTTGAACAAGACACTCAATCTTTTTGTGCCTCAGTTTCCCCATTTTACATTTTACCATTTTACAAAGGGAGTAAATAATATCTATTTGTTGTTATAGATGTTGTTATAGATGTTGTTATAGATAGATATTGTTGTTATAGATAGTTGTTATAGATGGAAGAAGTTAATATGTAATATTTAGCACAGTGCCTGGCATTAGTCATGGCTGTTTAAGTAAAATATTACTTATTAGTATTTGCTTTTGACCCTATTTCCTTCTTGGCAGAGATCTTGGATTTCTTAATACTTTTCAGAAGGTTTTGTCAGAGCAGCTAAAAAGATATGAACGTAGTAATTTACTGATAATAAAAGGGAGATTTCTTATATAGGCAGAAGTGCTTGAGCCTAAGAGCAAGTCTGAGTCTCACTCAATTCCACCACTGACCAGTTGTATGACTTTAGACAAATTACTTGCTTCCATGAGCCTGTTTCTTCAGTTCTGAGAATTAAATAAGAAGTGTGAGACATTTTGTGCTATATTTGAGATAATCAGGTACTTACAATCTATGCTTATAATAATTATAACAGCATTAATATATTAAATAGATATGTTTTGTTGTTGTTGTTTTTGTAATAGCTCAAAAGCTTTGCGTAGTTTAAAGGAGCTGTGGCAGTGGTGGTGGCTAGGAAAGTGAGAAGCATAATTTTCAGGTTCTGCTCTGCCTTTGATTTCAAAAACATGAAGAAAAGCAATGACAATGTAGGCCCTTCTAAAACTACATTTTGCCATGTTTCTACTAGCTTTACTAGGCATTTTCCTGGGTGCCCATAACCAGGAAACTTGGACCTAGAGAGGAGGGACCAAGACAGGGCAAAAGAAGCAGAGGAGAATCGAGCCACCACCTTCCTCGCCTCAGTGATGGCCCATGTGCTTCTTTGGGGCTAAGATGTTCTTTGCAGGCTGCACCCAGCCGTGCCACAGCCAAGGGGGAATGGACCCCTTCAGGGCAGCTCTAAGCTGGGCTGCAAGGTGTGGCCACATTCTTGGTTCCCAGGGACAAAACCTGGGGCCTTGACCCCGGGGCCTTACCAGTAATCCTGCCCAGGCCTGGAGTTCTGCTCCCTGCCTCTCCAGCCACGTGGGCTCCCAGGCTGTGGCCAATGAGGTGGACTTTGGAAGGTGAGTAGCTGTAGTTTGTCTGGAAAGGACAGACCATATTTTCAGGACACTGTTGTGCTGGTTTTCCTAACATGGTATCTCTCCTCTGCTGGAAACTCTCTATACTCCCCCTCCTCCTGACCTCTGGATCAAGCCCTAAACCATTAAAAGAGCCCCAGAGCTTTTGAGTCTAAGCATCTATTTTTTCTAGGCTCCTCTCTAGCCAAACCTTTTACTGAATTTTCAGGCCTTTGAATATGTCTGATTTTTTTCACCTCTGGGCCTGGTTTGTACCCATCCCCTCAATCACCTGCCCATTTCACCTGAAAACAGCCTCGCTTCAGCTCTCCACTTACATGTCCTACATGTCTCCTGGGAAGTCTTCCATGATACCCTCAACCCCCCCCCCCCCACAAACACGTGCGCGCGCATACACACCGGTCTGGATTAGCCATCCCCATGTGCTCCCATAAAGCCTGGACTTTCCCCATTACAATCCTCTAATAGATCACAATCCACTGTAAACGCAAGTCTTCCCTGCAAGCCCTTGAGGGCCTGGGACCTCATCCATCTTCTTTACTTCCTTCATACTCCTGGCTCTCAGCTCTAAAAATACTGTGTCAACAAAGCAAATAAAGCTATGAGGTGTTTGAAGACATTAGTCCCAGAGGTAGTACACAGATGTACCTCTTTATTGGTATATATGGCTCTTGTACAAAACTGTGGGTTTTGATTTCTATGGGGGTGCAGAAATAGCTGGAACCAATTGGTTCTTTTGTAGGCCTGTTAGCTATAAGACAGAAATGGCTGGAAACTTTACCTGGCATAAAAAATAGCCACAAGGAGTTACTGAATTAACTGCAAGAAAGACTTAGAGAATTAACTAAAAGGAAGAAACAACTGAAATGATTATGGCAGAGAAAATCCCCCAACACCAACAGGACCCACAATCACAGGCCAGCAGAGTGGGATTTTGCCAACTGCACACCCTTCCCTTTGCCTCTGTTTGGCTTCCCTGGCAATGCCTTGTTTTACCCTTAGTAGAGCAAACTTGTGTAGTGCGTGGTTCCTGGAGCTGGATGGTCTGGGCCCCAAAGAAAACTCTCCCATTCACCTGCTCTCTGATTTTTTTGGCAAAGTAAGCAGACTTTCTGGGCCTCAGTTTCCTTAGAAGATATAAAAGCCCCACCAACTAAGCACAAGTTGTGACTAGTTTTTCTTCCCCTGGTGTGTCATGAAGGAGATCTTAAGAGTTCTGGAAGTGAGATCTTTGTATCTCTTCTTTAATGCATCCCTCTCGCTTGTCCCACCAACTGACTCACTGAGAGGAGGTTGAGCATCCGGGCCACCTGGGCGCCCATCACCCGCACGTTGTTGGCAGCCTGTGTGTAGGGGGTTTGGGAGCCCTTCTTCCAGTCCACGCAGATGCAGTTCACCTCCTCCACCTTAAACATGCTCTGGTGTTGGGGAGACACCAGCTGTTACTACGATACCCGGGAAACCCCTTCCCATTAGGGCTCAGAAATGGCCACTTCTCCCACCTAGCTGAGCACTTGGATGAACTAGACTCTGTTAGGGAATCCTGGTATCCCACAGGGGTAAATGCTGCGGGAAGGGCAAATCCATTCCCCATCTAGCTTGAAGATTAATTAAAAGCTAGCTACTCTCTGGTTTCTTCAATCAAATTTGATAAAGTTACTCAGGTGGGGACAAACAATTGGGTCATTCAAACAGACATGATCCAATAAGGAAAACTTCAAATGTAGTCTCACTGGTGGCTGTGTCTAAATGACCTTGTGAATTTGACCCTGGAGGGTCCTTTGGGCTTCTTGGTGACACCCCTGCCTACTGTGCATTTCCTGAACTTTAAAGCAGGAGGGAAGCTTCACTTTCTTTTACAGTCAGGACAATGAAACATTTCATGGAGGATTTATACTTGCAAATATTTAAAAAATGAAACTGCATTGATTTAAGAGATTGAAGAATTCTGAAAGAAAAATTTCTTGCTGGATGTCAAAGGAACTGAAATATCCTTAGTTCTTACAAACAGTACATGGTACCAGGTTGGTATTACAAATTTAAAATCCACTTGGAACTTTTCACATACATGATAACTAATATATGTGATTACATACACAGAGATACTGACAATATTTTTTTTTTTTGAGACGGAGTCTCGCTATGTAGTTCAGGCTGGACTTGAATTTCTATGTGGCCTAGCCTGGCCTGGGACTCATGGTAATCCTCCTGCCACAGCCTTCTATGTGCTGCAATTATAGGCATGTGCCATCTACCAACAGGTTTTTTTTCTGCAGGACTTTTATTATTAAAGCAGCCTTTCAGAATTGCTTAAAAACCTGGAGAATTTAGGATATCAACTGCACCAGTAGGATGCTTATTAATGCTGGCACAAGAGAAGCGGCAAGAGCTAAGTGCCTGAGAAACCAAGACCAAATATAGATAGACTAATTTTTGAGGTTTGTAATCTTTTCTGGTTGACATTATCATTGGTGTTGTTATTAATGTACATGTGGAAGGCAGGCTGTTATTAATGTAGGTATAAATTCTTAGGTGGCAGAAAAATAGATTGAATCAGTGTACACAAAAAGAAAGGGAGTTGTACTATGCACATGTGTGTGTCCCCATGCACACATGTTCACAGATGTCCTTTGTGCATTTGTGTTACTGTGTGCATATGTGCATACAGGTGTGTGCACAACTATGTGTTCTGTTGCCAATTGTTGCACTTTCTATTCTTCAACTTGCATCATCCAGTCAACTTTAGTTCTTCATATTTCAAATGAGGGGCCATAGGTACACATCTCATGCTCTCAGGAATATGGGAAAGTTTTGGATGAAAAGAGGGTAATCCCTCATTTGCATAAATACAAAGGACACTCATGGAAAATAAAAGCAGAAAACACTGAGTCTTTTTTTTTTTTTTTGGTACTGGGGATTGAACTCGGGACCTTGCGCTTGCGAGGCAGGCAGCAGAACCACTAAATCCCCAGCCCAAAAACACTGAGTCTTAATTTAACCAGAAGTGAGATAGTGGAAGTATTTGTTCATATAGCTAATTCTGCTGCTTCTAGATCCAGGTGTAATCCAGAAATACAAAAAAGAATTTTCATGGGATCTAGGGTAAGGATTTCTTGTTGTCAGGCTCATGTGTTTTGATCACACAAAATGAGGCAGGGACAAGCAGGGGGAGTGACTGGGAGTGACTGCAGCCAGCAAGATAGCTGCAGGGGTCAGAGCTGGCTGTTACCTTGCACATGTCTGTCACCCAGCTCTCCTCTGTCTTGTCTAAGAAGCCATGAATGATGAACCAGGTCTTCTTGGTTGTTTGAAAATTCGATGCCTAAACTGTTGATGGATCAGAGAGGCGGAGAATCTGTGAAAATGCAGAGTGATGCATATTTTTGTAACCTGGCCCACAAGCCCGTCTCTTCCCCTTCCTCATCTCTGCTTGTTCCAATGCCTGGGCCTTTCCCAGCCTAGGACAAAGCCATCTCTTACATGAAGCCCCCAATCTCCCTCTTCCTGCTCTATCTCCTGGTCAGTATTCCTGGCCTCCACTGGGTCTGGGCTGTGGCTCACAGGCTTACCTTCCCAGCAGGTCCCATTAGACAATAAATCCTTTGCCCAGACAAGAACCACATAGCCAGCTACAAGTTCCAGCACTATGAACCATTCACTCATTCCAGCCCACACTTGCAGAACATCTAATCTGTCCAAGTCTGGGAAGGCCTGGGGAGCAGCTGGAGGGATGGAATGGGCAGGGTGTGGTGGAGGAAGCATGGCAGAGATAAGGAACTCATAGTCTGTGGTGGCCTAGCCCTATGGACAGAATCTCACCTAAAAGGTGTTTGAATTTTCACTGGTGTAGAGCAAGAAGTGGGTGTCAATCTTCTCAGGGCTCCAGGGCAGAATTTTCAGGGGCCTGATTGCAGTCCCAGCCCAGGGCTCAGTGTCAGAAAAGCATCCAAGGTCACCCTAGCAAATTTCTTTCCCTAAAGACAAAGGATAGATCATGTCAAGGATTATCTCCTAAGGCTGGCTCCCTCTTCCTGCCCTAGAAAAATCTGCAGACAATGGATGCACCACATCTCCTCTTCTTCTTGCACTTAGTACTCACAGACTTGCCTGGCCCAGTCCCACAGAATTCCACCAAGATGCTAATGGTGCCTTCACTTAGAACTGGCTTCAAAACGTAAGTGTTCTGAGCTCCCCACAAGCTCTTCTGATATGCTTATTTGACTAATGTGATAATGGGCATTCATAAGTCAGTGTCTAAACCAAGTCAGGTGTTTAATGCTTTCCCTAGAAAATTCTGGCCTCAATTCCCCTAAAGAATGAAAGCATGGGGTGGTTGGCACCGACCCTCTAAAGCAAGTCCCATTCAACTCTGCTAGGCTGTGTCAGTCCCACCCGCCTTTGCCTCCTGGAAGCTGGAGCTGTGTGGAACTGCCCAAAGACCCGCAATGGCTAGAGCTTTCTTTAGCCAGTGCCAAGAGCTTGGTTCATACTCTTCTTGGAAGTAGGTATGGTGGTTCTTACCTTGGGCTGCTCCCACCAGGAAAAGTGTGATTGTCCAGAAGAGCAGCATCTGCAATAAATTCCAACATTCTCAACCTTACAGAGTGTTTCCAGATTAGTGAGCAGACTCTCAAACTCTGGATGGTTTGCCCCACCTCTACTTCTCAGCTAGTGGTGAACAGAATGTAGAAGTGGCTCACCCTGTCTGAGGATCCGGGCACTCCTTCACACTGGGGCCCCCCAAGATGTTTTCTTATATTCTAGCCTTATCATTTTGACACAGTTTTAAGAAAGCTGTGAGTGATGATAGCACCTGTTATGTGTACTTAATATTTTAATCTGTACACATATACAGAACAAGATTAGTAATGATGGGTAAATCTTCCCACAAGTCTCCGAAGATGAAAGAATGCTTGATTAAAAGGAGGAGAAAGGTCACTAACTTTGCACATATGCATGGATGGAAGTACTTGGGAGCTCAGTGAGCCCTACTTCTTTGTTTTCTATTTCATCACCAAATAGTTTACACACCTCTGTAAGGACACAGCAGCAGACCTAATAATAGGAGGTGGTTGTTTTCATTCACATTTGATGGAAATGTCCCTAATTAGCTGAAAGTAAAGGGAAGCATCTGATCAAGAAAAGCTCAGCTGGGCGAGGTAAGACACACCTATAATCCCAGCTACATTGGAGGTTGAGGAAGGAGAGTCACAAGTTCAAGGCCAGCCTGAGCAGTTTAGTGAGGCCCTGTCTGAAAATAAAAAGTAAAAGTAGCTGAGGATGCAGCTCAATCACAGAGTGCCCCTGGGTTCCATTCCATTCCACCAAAACAAAAGAAAAGCGAGAAATAAAATCAAAACCAAAAAAATCTCTCTCTCCTCTCTTTGTGCCTTGCTGGTGCAATAGCGACAGCCAGGGACGTGAGCTTTGGAGATATACAGCGCTCAGGAGCTCTCATAATAGCCTTTCTCATAGTCACCCCATTACTACCTTTCAGTTTTCTATTACTATGCAATGAAAGAAGGTGAAACATAATGGTTTAAAACAACAACAATGGTCATAGTATCTCACTCTAATTTGAATATTTGGGTTCAGGAGCCCCTAAAGCACACATCAGCAGCCCATGACACATCCATTGAGTGTCCCAGATCTTCCCAACGCTGCACACTTGCCAGACTAGGCTCTGAGGACATCATGATTTATCTGCAGATCAGCACACCTGTGAGGAGTTGGCCAGTTCACCTGAGAGAGATAAGCCTTCCCCGGGCAAACACGTGGGTCTCTCTCTACCTCCAAGTGAAATGTGCCTCAACCTCAAATTTCATGCTCCTGAATAACCAGATCCTAGGGTGCAGGCCTCAGGGCCTCCTGCAGAGAACATGAAAAGGACTTTCCTGGAGTAATGAAGATAGTGGCTGACAGTCTCTAAGGCCTAGTAAGTATACTTAATTTAAAATTGACAGCAACCACATCAGGTGGGTGCTATCACTGGCCTCCCTTTAGAGATGTAGAAACTGAGGCAAAAAGAGAGACAAATTGCCTACCACATGACTTCCTTACCCCTGGGCTGCACGGGCCCATGGCTTGTTAGTACCTAGGCTGCAGAGCCTAGGCCTCCAGGTGAATGGAGGGCCAGGGAGCAAAATTTCATCTATATTTACCGCTGCTCCTCATCGCTTGAATTAACACCCGAGCTCTGCCTCCTGCCTGATCAGCAGCAGCGTTAGATTCTCATAGAAGCAGGAACTGTCCTGTGAACTGCGTATGTGAGGGATCTAGGTTTTTAGTTTGCCTTCCTTATGAGAATCTAACGCCTACTGATCTGAGGTGGAGCTGAGTCAGTGTTACGAGTGCTAGGGGGCAAATATAGATTAGCATTGGCAGAGAAGTTTAATTACACAGACACCATAATAAATCAGTTGCTTGCAGACTCATACCAAAACCCTCTCAGTGAGTGACACTTAAACTGCATCTAGGGGCAGGCTTTATTGTGGCAAAAAGTTGATGTGCTTCATTGTACAGCTCCCTCTGGTGGCAGGAGTTAAGCCAGAATTTTGGTCAGTATGTGGCCCCAGTATTTCACTTACTGCTTGACCCTGTCCTTCATCCTGCACTTGTCTCAGTCAGTTTTTGTAAGCCCACAAGCTAACCCTACCCAAAATGAGTAAAAAAAAAATCAGCAGAGAACTTCTTTGAAAAGGAAAACCTCAATAATGAAAGCAGAAGGCCACTAACAGAAAGCTGCATTTAAAAGAAAATACCAAGAGTTTTATTTAAATTATGGGTTCATTACAATAGGTAACCCACACTCTCCAATTTCACTTTGTATATTATGTGGACCCTAAATATGAAGTCACAAAACTCCCTTGCAATATGGAGACCATGTACTTTGTATTAAAAGATGAGTCTTGGGAGTTTTTAAAGAATGTGAACACAAAGAACAGAAGCAATTATTGAAGGTCACTGCTTTATCCATTGTGTGTGCACTCAGCACACTGCTCTCAATGGTAACCACATTGCTAAAGCTAAGAAGCCCTTTACTGTTGGTGAAGAGTTGATCTCTGCCAGAGAAGAGGACGTTTGTTGTGAACTTTCAGGAGAGGCTGCAGTTCAAAACATGATAATGTTCCTCTTTTGGCTGGCCACCGTAACTACATAAATTCATCAAATAGCAGAGGATATTAAGGTACAATTGTTAGAGATGATTAATGAGTCACCATGATATGCAATCCATATTGACGAGTGTTGACAGCAAGGTAACAATGCTTGTTTTTGTACAATATATTTTTCAGGAGGATGCACATGAGGTTATGTTATGTTTTACTGTTTCCAACACCATGCCTGTATACTATTCAAGTCTTTGAATGATTACATATCAGGAAAACTGAATTGGTCATTTCTGTCAGTATATGCACAGATGGGTCAGCTGCCATGACTGGATGGCTTTCTGGTTTTACTCTTTGGGTCAAAGAAGTGGCTTCTCAATGTTAGTCTATACATTGTGTCATCCACAGAAAAATACTGGCTAGCCACAAAGTGTCACATGAAATTAACAACATTTTGTAGGATGTAATTAAAATTACAATCACATTAAAGTGCATGCCATTAACTCAAGTCTGTGTGCAGCTCTGTGAGGAAATGGACACAGAGCACACAAGTCTTCTTTTATAAACAGAAGTGAAATGGCTTTCTAAAGCTAGATTCCTGGCCACAGTTTTTGAGTTACAAAAACTGCTGCAGTGAGTTCTTTTAGAAAAACAGTCACCACTAGCAGCACATTTCAGTGACACAAAACTTGCTTAATTGTGTGACATATTCAGCCTACCATTCAGCCTTCATTCAGCAAATGAAGTCAATTTGTCACTTCAGGGGAGAATGACAATTATGTCCAAGTTGGCAGATAAAGGGCCTCCATTCAAAGAGGTGATAAGTGAATTGGGATTTTAACATGTTTCAATCATGAACACAGATTCTGAAAGAGCCAGAGCCAGGATCTTCTTTCTCCCAGCTGGTACATAATGACCTATGTCAGCCTTTAAAATAATTTGAGCATTACTTTCCAATCAGAAAAGACCCCTGAACTGGGAAGGAATAGATCCTCCACCCATTTGTAAATAAACCAGGTGAATCAACTCTGTCCTTGTTAGAAGAAGATCTGTTGCTTGAGATTGCAAAAGGTGGTGTCCTTAAAAGTGTGTTTGAGATAAGTTCACATCTCTATATGTTCCAAGTTACAGTCAAGATGAATATCCTGAGATTGCCACACAAGCACTGAAAATGCTACTTCCATTTTCAACATTCTGTCTTTTTGAAGCAGGATTTTTGGCAGTTACAGCAACCAAAATGAGATTATGAAATAGACTGGACATAGACAACATGGTTCAAGTTTAACTGTCTCTCATCATCCCTAGATGGGATCAACTAGTTATAGGAAAAGAAGTCAGGACTCCCACTGATTCTGTGTTATGATGAGTTATGTAATTATTTCATTACATGTGTATTGGAATCATCCTGGACACCCCCCCCACACACACACACACACTGTCTGTCAAAAATTGTCTTCCACAAATCCAGTCCCCGGTGCTAAAAGAATTGGGGACCAGTGGGCTACAAAGTCACCCAGCCGATAGGTGAAGAGATGGGATTTGAATACAGGATACACAGAATGTAAAGAGGAACTACTGAATTTTCAACAACTTATTATGCTGAGCAAGTAATCAACAAGATTTGTTGAGTATCAGTTACATAGCCTAGGGGAGATACTTATGTTGAATAAGTCAAAGTAGAAAATAGATTTTCCTTAACCTTGACTGGGCCCTAGCCATCTGGCTGGCCTGTCTAGTGTGGAGGTTTAAGCCTTGGAAGTCAATTCACGCGGTCTGGGAAGGTGCTAGAGTCTTTTATAATGATTTGGTGAAGTAAAAGGCATTTATAGTTTTCTTTGACATTACAATGCTTGATGCAGGAAGACTTGTAAGGATCTAACAATAGATAAATAGGTAAATTGGTTGGTAGGAGATGTCTTGGGGCCTGTGTGCTTCTCTGATCTTGACTGCTTTCCACTTTGCCCTGTACACATGGCCACAACAGCCACTATCAAATGGGCCAGTTTGCACTTACTATTCTCAATGCTGAAACCGTAAAATTTCACTGAGCTGGCTTCTTCTTGTCATTTAACAATTGGCTTAAATGTCAACTCTTCGGTGAGGCCTTTACTGAAGAGGGGTACACTGTCTTCTTTGAAGCTGGCCCTAAGTCCCTGTTCTGGGCACCTTGCTTGCTTTCTACTTCACACAAATTACAATGATCTTTCTTATTTATCTTCTTAGTATTTTCCCTTGTTCTTTTCCCAGTTAGAATGCAATGCCATGGGGACAGAGACTTCACCTCTCTTGGTCATTGCTGTGTCCCAAGCTTCTAGAACCCAGAGCTGAAATGTTTCAGTGAAAGGGAGAATGTACATATGATGAGTTCATAGGCATTTCCCCTGATCTTTAGTGAATTTCAGGGTTAAGAAACATGAAGAGGCACAGTTTTTAAAGATATATATTGTAAAGGACACATACTAAT